TTGCTGAAGCAGCATCAATTGCAAAGCAATGGAGTGCATTAAAATGTTCTCTGTTCTTTAATAGATTAGGTGAAAAATGCAATATTATCGCATTTAGCAAAATTAAAACACGTTTTTCGCTGTAAAGTGAACTGCTTTGGCAGTTTTAACTCGTTCTTCTTTTCCCTCTATTCTATGTTTACTTGTGGTACACAAATGTCAACGCCCAGGACGGCGCAATCTTGTATTCTATCATTCTTGAACAGAATCTGTAGAAGGTGGAGACGTGGGTTAAGAGCGTGTCAGACATGGCAATATTTCCTACTTTTCCACGCAATTCGCTGTCAAATTGAGGAAGAGGAATTTTATTTAGATGTGTGAACAGCCATAAAAATAAAAGAAATAAAGATTGCATAATGTGACTGCAACGCAAAGTGCGCAAATCGAATTCGGAAATAAAAAAAAAAAACCTATTTGGAAATACATTTTACATGCAAGGTGTGTCTGCTCCTGCAACTGCTTTCTGAAAATGCTCAATTTGACAGCTCTTTCGAAATATAGTGCATACGAAATCTATTGCCACGTCTGACACGCTCTGTAGTTTGGAAAAGGGGAAACATTTTTAGCAACCCTGTGGGACTGCCTAACTATCAGTTGCAACCCTGCCTTGAAACCCACTCATATTTTTCTTTCTACTTTGTGCTCATTGTTGTTTTTTATCTGCGATTTTTCTTGAATGAATTGGCGTCTAGCCGGTAAAACGTGGGTGCATGTGGAAAGAAATTGTTCTGGAGACCGTAAAAAATATAAGATATTTTACTGAAAAGGCGTGTAGAGTAAAAGAATCACAATGCCCTACCTTTGTTTGTTACAAGATGGTAATGAGAGCCTGCCGCGTCTGATGGAGAAAGCACAGCAAAGCGGCTACGCAGTTGTAGCGGCTCCCATAAACGCTACTGAAATACCTTTGGAATTTCAAGAACCGCCAATGTGTGACCGGCAAACGGAGTTCACGTACTCTGATCTCATCTTCCCTTCAGATCAATGGAATGGAAAAGTTATAAGCATGTTATCGGATACCATCGATTGCGAGGCCGAGGATCCAGTGGTGCGTCGCAATGCAGAAGAGGTATTGAAACGAGACATTTCGTGGGCAGAACATTTACAATATGGTGGTTATACAATGCTACAACTAAAATCTGAAAGGAATCTCAATATGGCACGCATTGCGTCGTGTACTGTGAAGGGTAAGTGTGCATTGATCTATGTTTATTAGGGTGGTCCTTAAATGTAGGAAGTATATTTTTACATCCGATTTTCTAAGCCTCAACCACTGCTTCGATGCAACTATAGTCGAAGATATCACATATAAATTTTGGTCCTGATTGGGGACGGTAAAGTCGTGTTGCACAAAGAGCAAATTTCAGATTCCTCTATTTAGACTCGGAAAATTTAAATTAGTTTTTTTTCACCTAATACACAATCGATACTACTTTAGTCGAGCATATCATATAAATTTTGGCCCCGACTGGAGTCGGTTAACGCGTCTCGCACAGGGGTCAAACTTCAGAAATTTATATGTGATATCTTCGACTTTTAACCGTCTCCAATCGGAACCAAAATTTATATGTGATATCTGTGGTCGTGGTATTACCGATTGAGGGGGCGATACTGAAAAAAATCGTGCATTTGATTTTTTTATGGACCACCCTAATGTATACACATTTCGTTAGGATGGTGTGGAAAGGGCCTAACTCACATCGACGCTGAAATATAAGAAGCCGTAACTAAAAATCCAAAATTCACTTTTTGATTGGTTATGATGCATTTCATCGAACTACAAGTCCTCACATCGTTTTATGCAATACATTTATTTTTTGCGGTTTTTAAATACACCCTTTCCATACTATACTAACGATATGTAGATGGATTCCCTAAAATTAACGGTTTCAGAGTTGCATATTCATATTTATGAATTTGTATAGGATTGCTGCTTGTACAAGTACCGTTATATAATTCAAAGGTGGCACAATCTACCTGGCGACGTGACATTGACGAGGAACAACTGGAACACATTGAACAGCAAGACACCTGGCATTGGTGGAACAGCTTCCGGTGGGCAGCCGATTTCAATCCAAAAATAAAATTGGCCCTCGAGTTGAGTGAAAGTGATCGGCCATCATTGGAAGTGGTGCGCCGTTGGATAGGTGAGCCAGTGGAGGCAATTATAATACCCTCCACAATGTTTATTTGCAATCGCCAAAACTACCCAGTGCTCCCAAAAACTTGGCAGGAAATTTTGTCGTATTTTACGCGTGCACGCGTAAACATAATAATCTCTTCTGATGTAAATGATGTCAGTCTTAAACTCTATGCAGAGTATATGCTCCGGTTCATGGAAACTCATGGTGATTTTCACGAGCTACAAGCGTAAGTTGAGCTATTCATGTACATATGTATTCATTTGTTATAATTACATACATTTTTTGTATGGCAGTTTTGAAGATGTTCTGGAGGAGCCGCTACAACCCCTATATGACAATCTGGACTGTTATACCTATGAGGTATTCGAAAAAGATCCTGCAAAATATAAGCTATATCAGGAGGCCATTGAGCAAGCTTTGCTGGATCGTGTTCCCGAAAAGGAAAATAAGAATACATTGGTAACAAAATTTTTAATGAAATCAATAGTGACGATTTACCATGTTCCTTTTCCCACAGACCGTAATAATGGTACTGGGGGCCGGTCGTGGCCCACTTGTACGTTCGGCGCTTAATGCCGGAGAAAATACTGGTCGGAAAGTTCGCGTATATATTATTGAAAAGAATCCCAATGCTATACGTACACTGAATGCAATTGCTAAAAAGTTATGGAATAATAAAGGTATACATTTGTTGTCTATCTTAAATCAAAACCTCAACTCTTATGCTCCATAGATGTACACATTTTCTCCAAGGATATGCGAGAATTCTCACCACCTGAACCTGCCGACATTCTAGTTTCCGAGTTATTGGGCTCATTTGGCGATAACGAACTTTCACCAGAGTGCTTGGACTGCGCACAAAAGTTACTAAAACCTGATGGCATAAGTATTCCCTGTAAATCTACCTCTTATATCAACCCGATTATGTCTTCAAAGCTGCTGAACGGCGTGCGGCAAGTGATGCGGCACGAGACATTCGGTCGCCAGAAACAGGCCACGTATCATACACATGCTGAAAGCGGATTTGTTGTGTTACTCAAAAATATTTACAATATTGGTTTGCCACAACCTTTGTTCGAATTTGTTCATCCCAATCCCCAACAGCCAATCGACAACAGCCGCTATAAAGCGTTGAGTTTCGATGTAGAAATGGATTGTGTACTCACCGGTATAGCAGGGTACTTTGACACTGTACTTTATAAGGATATTAAGCTGAGCATTAATCCGCAAACGCACACGCCAGGCATGTTCTCTTGGTTTCCGATGTATTTTCCCTTTGCGGTAATATATTTTGATATACCTGTATGTTTTGAGTATTTTCTTACAAAAAATATGTGTAATAAATTTGCAGGATCCTATGGATGTAAAAAAAGGGCAAACTATTGAAATTCATTTTTGGCGTTGCGTTACAAAGCAGAAAATCTGGTATGAATGGTGCTTGGCTTCGCCGTTCCGCACCCACATACACAATCATGGCGGACGTTCATGCCCAATATACTGTACGTAAACTGATAAGTTGGTGCGTGTAGTTTCTATATATTACTATTCTAAGCAATATCTAATTAGAATTACATTATTAACACGCTGTGCTACTTGACAAATTTAAAATAATAATTTGTAGTTTTTATGTTCCAAGACGATTAAAGAATTGTATGTACATAAGCAATGTATATAATATTTCGTATTGTAAAGTCAACGGGTTTAAAGATGACAAGTGTGTCAATTTGGGTGTTAATTAAGCAGTATTTCCCATTAATAGCTTAATTATTTACGTTTAAATGGTTGGCTATTTATAGTGTCGATATCCACACATTTTTTTATGTTTATGTTTAATTTGTTTAAGCTCTATTTGGTAACTTTTTGTCGAAGGCTTTTTAGAAGTCTTGCAGTAAATGAGAAAAAAAATTTATTTGACCTTTATTAGGTCTAACAGCATTTTGCTGGGAAATTATTAAAATTACTTATGTATATGGAAGTTTATTGTATATGGGCTTTTTAGAAGCCAATTAATATAACTTCTGGCAAATATTAATTATACAAGCCATGGCATTTTTGCGTAGCTCTTAAAGGAAGCAAATATATTTAAAACAATTGACTACATACATGCCTTTCGAAATATTATATCCTGCTGATGTAAAAAAATAAGACAAATTTGTTCAAGAAAAATTGTAAAACGACACTTTGTTAGTAAGTTTAATACCAATAAATGCCAAGTTAAGAATTTGTCGTCTAACGTAAAAAAAAAATTTCCGCTGGTTGTTAAACGTTTAGATACGAACATATTGAAAAGACGTTGGACGTGCAGCGTTTTCAAAACAAGTAACGAAATCATTTTGCTGTTTAAAATGCGACATTCAGCTCTAATTCTCACATAACCAGGTCTATCACAGAATCCACACGTTCTTAGCAATTCCCGTACAGTGACCGCATTTTCGTAGATTTCACGAAAAATCTATGATAGCCCCCAGGATGTGTTCTGTATTGGGATTCGAAAGGCGACATGGACAAACAAAATCATTGTCAGGTATTCGAATCCGAATGATTTGCTTTTCGAATCACGATACATAGTAGACCCACGGCTTACATCAATGGCCAAGAAGGTTTTGATTTGACTTTGTTTTACAATTCAGATAGAAACGCACGATCAGTCGATGGCGTTCTGCTGAAAAAATAAGTTTGCTAATTAAAGTTTAAGCGACAGGAAACAAAATTACGTTGCCAATATAACAACTCAGTTGTTGTTGTTGTAGCGGCTAACACAACCCCGCCCAGATGGGCTAGTCCCTAAATCGTTGTGGTCAAGCTCAACTAACGGGAGACCTAGGAAGCGAGCAGATTCGATGGGGTTTGTCCATAGAAGCAGATGCGTTGATTGAGTGGGGTTTAGTGGCACTCGTTGGGCACATCTGCATCTAATATTCCCAGCACGAGTGTAGTTGATTCCAAAGATTTTTTTTTTTTAATATTTTTATTAAAAGTTAACAAAACTTAATTTATTTT